TTGCTGTAATCGCTTGTATATTATAACTTTACAAAAACATGTCTCTATTAAGCCAACATATATGCATATTCCATTGAATATCACACGTCCATATTAATAATAGAAACTTGTATACAAATATAATAAACAACCTCCCGCCAAACGTTTAGAGCAAATTCAACCACATTTTAAACAGAAACTGTGCCTGGTAAATAGTTGCGGAATAGTATCTAAAGGTAAGCTAAAAGTGTCTTATATCAACCGTCCTACATTTATGCTCTATCTATGCTGATTAACACGGACAAGGTATTTTGGTCAGAGTAATACGGGCACTAGGTATTTTGGTAATAGTAATATAAGGGCACAAGGTTTTTTTGGTCACTGTAATAACGACACACGGTATTTTGTCCCAGTAAGACAACCAGTTAATTTGGTTAAAGTATTGAGGGTACAAGGTAATTCGGACACATTTATGAGGGCACAAGGTCCAGACACTGAGCCGTCCTAGAACTACCCTTTTATGCTGAGTCGCCAAGCACAAGGGCTATATACCAGTACCTTTTTTGTAAGTCGCGGCTTGGGACCGAACCTTCCGTTTCTAAGGTTGACGCTCTTACCACTACCTGGGACGGTCAAGATGTGTGTCATGTTCAGCATTCCTTACTGCCAATGAATTAGACAACTGTTTTATTAATATCTTAATTGCCGTACCTCGGTTAAGTAACAATACATAAGAAACCACCTCAGTAGAAGACCGTTTTTGATTATTCCTTTGAGTGGTCTCTCAATACAGTTTTAATGCACATGTAAGTTCAATTGTCATGGTCAATAGTATTCATTTAAATATTTCAATAAATTATTCAGAGTATTTCAAACATACGTACTCTCATCTGAGAATTTAAGATTTAAGATGTTAAAGAAAATTCAAGTTACTAATTTGAAAATTCAACATACTAACTTGAAAATTCAAGTTACTAAATTCAAGATACTAGCTTGAAAATTCAACATACTAGCTTGGAAATTCAACATACTAGCTTGAAAATTCAAGATACTAACTTGAAAATTCAAGTTAGTATCTTGAAAATTCAAGTTACTAACTTGAAAATTCAACATACTAATTTGAAAATTCAACTTGAAAATTCAACATACTAACTTGAATATTCAACATACTAACTTGAAAATTCAACATACTAACTTGAATATTCAACATACTAACTTGAATATTCAACATACTAATTTGAAAATTCAACTTGAAAATTCAACATACTAACTTGAATATTCAACATACTAACTTGAAAATTCAAAAAAAAAGAAGAAGAAATGAATGGCCCTAATACGCTTCAGTAAAAAATACCACATGTAAAAATAATAATTATTTAAAAGAAATATTGAGTAAAATAAAAAATGATCTCTTCCTGAGGTTTTTAAAAATTTCAATTTAATTTTAACTACAAAAAAACCCGGAAAATCCTTTATTTTACTTCTCTTCTTGAGAATCTCTACAACCTTCAGAACCCTGACCCTACCTACCCTGTTACCAGATATTTCACCCCGGTTATCTCAGTTAACAATACATTATAGGTTTTTGTTACTGGTAATTTACTTTGTATTGTGTTGGCTACTGTTACTAGTAGTTTGGTCATCCCTGTTGGCCTCTGTTGAACTACTTGTTACTGGTATTATCGTTTAACATTACTTTGCGGTTATCTGTTGATGGTATCCCATTTATGTCTGTTACTAGTACTTTGTTGGCTTCCTTTTTTTGTTATCTCTGCTAACAATACTTTGTTAGTTTCTGTTACTAGTATTCAAGTTGTCTTTGCTAACAATAATTTGTTGGACTCTGTTATTAGTGCACTAGTTATCTCTGTTCACAGTTCTCTGTTGATCTCTGTTAGTGGCATTCTATGTATTTCTAGGTACACACGTTGTTGTCTGTGTACAATATTTAGCACTGAGAGATAAAAATGTTAAATGCGAAGGTAGAATGAACAACATCAATTTAGAATTCGCATCATGGTGGTAAAATCATCTAAAAGCATCTAGCACAATGCTTACTTTATGAGCTCTCACCGTATGATAGAGTTCATTGAATGGAGTTGTCATGTTCACTAACTTCCCTATATTCACCCAAAATAAGTCTAGCTATATATAACTGTTATATAAACATCACGTTCTGTGATAATTGAGTACGTTTTCTTTCAAAGAAATTATGCAAAAGAAAGCATTGTAAAAAACTTATAGCTTATTTTCACTTACCTATTTTTCTAATATGCTCTAATTAATTGCAGTGGATGGATTTCCTAGAATTGAATTACAGCGCAGCTGTAGCAAAGTGTTTGATTTGGAAAAACACGTTTTAAATTTCTAGCTGGCATTTTGCAAGTTACATAATAACATAATAAGTTATATAATATATAACAAGTCACGTGATAGCCTGAGTCATTTCAATTTTAATTCGTTCCATTATATATACACTCTATATATAATGTATAATATATCATACCAAACATGCAAAAATACATAATAAAATCACTCACACAGGACACCATGAAAGAAATTGTACAGTATCCGAAATTCCATCATGCCAAATCCACGATTATTTAATGCATGTATAGTATAAAATCACCTCGTATGTAGTCTACACAAATCTATATAAATATCAGTACCGTGTCACATGAACTGCTTTTTCAGAACTTTTTATGTCACGTGTTAAGGAAACCCAAAGTTTTAAAAAAATAACAAGTCATTTGAATTTCAAACGAACTTAAAGATGGCCTCGGTTTTATTAAATTGACAAATATCCAAAATTCTACAGGAATATCGCAAATATAGAAACCGAACTAACATAAGTATTTTCTACTCATTTTCGACATCGGTTTTGATCGGTTACCATTTATGGATTTTGACGTTTTTTGTCCAAACCTCATTGACATGCACCCGAATGTTGCCAAATCAAGTGTAGGGTCCTGAAGAAAGAGCCCGATACAAGACATCTGGTTCTGTATTTTAATTTGTTTGAAAGTTATAGGCATCTAAGTGAAGTAGGTTAAAGCTTGGGCCTTAATCTGCCCTCCCCCTTTTTCAATTTTCTATAAATTCATATCTTACTGCTTAGTGAATCGCCTACCGATTCACCATTATTTAAATTAAACTTATAGGCAAAACCAATAATTACTCGTGGTTAAAGGCTTGGCTTACGTTGTTAATTTTACATTTAAAAACAGACGGAAATATTAACGGAAAAAAATATATTTTACACAAAGAAAATAATTTTACCTTAGGTTGAACAAGTTGATCCACAAAAAAGTCAATCTTGAGACTATTTTTAGTATTTTTGTGTACTCAATCGCTGACTAGTAAACGAAGAGAATTTAAAGTTCTAATTAATTATTTTAAAGTGGTAGGCCTAATATTAACTAAGATGGGGAGTATATTTTGAAGTATCTATGTCATAGCCGTACTAAATAGTATTAAAAGAAAGATTACTCCCTCCATTTGCATTAATAGAAAAATTGACATCACAAAATCATAATAAATCTGGAGCTTACATACTACCTATGAAGCAATCCGCATTAGTTTTTTAATAGGTGTTCTTACAGCAAATGTGTGACCAATGAAGTAGTGCTTACAATGAGACCCATTCGGGTGTCATCAAAATAAATCTCAATTTTTCAAAGAGACACGAGGCTGGAAATATACAAACATAAAGATTAGATTCTAAAAATATCAAAAATGCCATCATATTTGCGTCATTAAATGAAGTTCAAGGCACGCCGGCTTCAGATAAGTTAAAGTAACAAAGACCATCTTTTTTATGCTTTGTTGCCTACACGTCTACATACACGCTCAAATAAACACTCTTTAAATCATGTTATCCCACTCTTAATGTGGAGTCTCGTTTATCCGCACATTTATACTTATTCCCTTCAAATCCCCATATAAGCTTTTCCATAATTTCGTCTTTCAGTCTATGTGGTGCTCACTGTGAAGTCTGCGGTACACTAAAATGGATTTGTATCCTTTCAGCGATTTTTCTATGCTTCCATCAGAATACGACCTACAAAGGATTACTAATTATGAAATTCTCGATTCCCTACAGCTGGAACTTAGCATCATATTTTTGTTATTCAAATTGCTGTCCACACCGCAGAATGGACCAATACCGCTCTACCCGCAAACACCACCTTTTTATTCATCAACAACTTATGGTTATCAACAAACACCATTTGGATATCAGCAAACCACATATGGGTACCAGCCAACAACATTTGGAAACCAGCAAACAACTTTCTATAATCAACAAACACCTTACAACAACCAACAACAATCAGACAATAGTACGCAAATCCAGTCTAGAAGCACTTCAGCAAGTAAGTGAATATTAAGAGATTTCGAAACCTTGGTTAAATCAACGTTAATCACGCCTCTTTGCCATAACATTTTATATCAAGCGCACCCTAATCTTACAAACAATTTGTTGTCTATAGAAAAGTGGACAAACGAAAACATGAAAAATACGCATCGATGCTGAATTTGTTAAAATTCAAGTCGGAAGATATGTACAAACGAATAATATAAAAAACCTTTCCTTTGTCCGGACTGTTATCTCAAAGTTCCGTTCTGTGGTTGGTCCATTACACATTAAAATAATGTGCCAAGTCAATCCTAAAATTTAACCGTTAAACAATTCGTAAAAGTAAAAATCTGAAAGGAACATTATGTATGTATAGAACAAGTTACATAAATACATCCCGGGGACTATAAAAGTAGTTTGGTAGTAACACAAATTGACCAATTTTGTGTTCAAAATTACTCCCAGCCGTGTTCAAATTTTTGCTGTCCTGTTAATAATCATGCTTAAACTTTTGCTTCTTTCAGCTTGGGGATATTTTGGACTCCACGGTAAGTATATTTCGATCAAAACTTTAAAGTTCCAGAATAACCATTTGTCAAAGATACAGTCGTGTAAATATTTATTTAAAATATAAGATTATACAATAAGATATTTGTACTCTGTAGGCCCGTCAAATTGGAATAATTGGAGTACATGTGGTGGACAAAGACAAAGTCCTATTGATATAAACTCTGGATTAGTAACTATGGCAGATATGGGACAGCTGTTCTTCACCAACTATGAAAATCCTGCTATATGTGACGTAACCAACAATGGCCATACAGGTTTGTTCCTCTGATATTCAGAAAATTCATAAACATGAGGCAGTTAAATATGTTGTTTTCGGTTGTGTTATGAAAGATATATTGGTTATTTCCCATTATATTGATAGACACTACTAGAATTATTTGTTGTTCAATGACCAACAATTTTTTTTTGTGCATAACACTGTTATCAAAAGAAGTAGACTAGCTGGGGCCTACAGCTCGAGACTAGATCTTTAAGCTGTAAATATTCATTGCTCGTTTCTAATTGATATTTCTACTGAGAGCAAGTTTGCTTAGAGATACTGTTTGAAATGGCAATGTAATAGGCACTTGAGCAATATGATGACTAGGGTTTGGGTTTTTGTTACAGTGCAATTTGATATTTCTGCCAATATTATGACGATGTATGGAGGAGGTTTAAATGGTGTTTATCAAGTAGCACAGTTTCATTTTCACTGGGGAGCTAATGATACCATAGGTTCTGAACATACAGTCAATGGTAGATCTTTTCCATTAGAGGTAAATAATTTTTCATAAACATTTATCAAACATAGGGCTGTATGTGACATTATATTTCTTTTACATAAGGCCCAAAGAAATCCTCGTTTCGTATCTCTCTTTCGGGTCACAATGCTTCAGATGGTATACTTAACTCGAAATCACGTTTATCCTTTTATCCTGTCATACCTTTGTGATTATTCGGTTTATTGCAGCCTTTGGTTTCTTTGTCTCTTTGTGGTTAAAACTTATCTTATCTGAAAGTGGACAAAATCTTATTTCGTATGCACGGTTAAGGCATGCTAGGCATCCACTCTATGAAGTTAATACTTATAATCATTGTACTGTTTTACAGATACATGTAGTTCATTATAAGCAGTCGTATGGTTCACTGGCAGACGCTGCCACACAGCCTGATGGACTTGCTGTTTTGGCAGCACTATTTGATGTAAATATCTGTTCAAATCAACATATTATATTAGTCCACTACCTTGTCACTACAGATGCCTGTCCATTCATCTGGGGCAAGGGATACGATCAGACATACATTGATATGCATATTTAGAATTTTGTGTCGATCTTATGGAATATTAAGAAAAAAACGTCTATTCGTTCGAATGAAACGAAAACCAATGCCCCATGTTTTATAAGCTGCAATGACTGTTCAAAAGCATACTGGGTTTTTGTACTCATTGCTCACTGCAAGCGCAGACCTATGAGGGGGCCTCATATGAACTAAAAACAGAATGCGTATATGCAACATGAAAGACTTTTTAGTAGCTTTTCATTCCAGATTTCCGTTTCTGATAACCCAGCTTTCAATGGTTTATTGACAACACTTGAAAAAGTTCGGAATCCCAAAGGTATGGTATTATACTCTCCACATTACATATTGATATTTTTATACGCCCACATGAAATGGCGTCACCCATGTCCGTCCGTCCATCAGTCGGTCCGTCCGCTCGTCGGTCCGTTCTCAATTGCTCGTAAACACTCTAAGAGACACAATTCTTTTTGACGAAACTTTGTGTGTTAGTCATTGCCCAAGGATGAACCCTATCGAATATCAGAAGAATAAAAAAATTCTTAGTACGAGTTATTGCCCTTGTTCTTGAAAATGCATTCAAATTTTTGCACGTAAAGGCACAATCCTTTTCGGAATTCAACGAAACGTGGTGTGAGTATTTCTTATTACCCAAGTATAGAAAATCAGAAGAATCAAAAAATATTTTTTACCTCGTAAACATTTAATTAGGCACAATTCTTAACAGATTTTGACGAAACTTGGTGTGAGTGTTTGTTATCACCCAAGAAAGGAACCTATAGAAAATCAGAAAAATCGATACATTCTTAGTATGAGTTATTGCTCTTGTTCTTAAAATCTCGTTTAAGTTTCAGCGTGTAAACACTGTAAAAAGCCCAATTCTTGACAGATTTTGACAAAATGTGGTAATATTATTCAGTATCGCCCCAAAATGTTCAAAAGAAGTGTATGTCTTAAGGTTGATTATTTCATTCTGGTAATTATCGCTGTACTGTTGAATATTTTTATTCAAAAGTAAAGCTGCCATTTGGCGTAGCCTATATTTCCGTGCCTAGCAAGCTATCGTTCGTGGTTGCTAGTAGAGTATCTTTACCGGATGGTATAAACCATAAAAATGCGTATTTTTAATTCGATGAGCACCTAAATGAAATTTTAAGTTAATGAAAATATCCATTCGATCGTCTTTCATATTAATTCTATAAGCAACACTTCGTCTCTATCGGCGCAAGAAGAAAGTAGAGTACTTGTCATTTCAACATGCAATACGAAGCAAAAATAAACTAGATTTTGTTCAATGATTGAAATCAAATCCTTTATATTAGATAGTTTCACATTATTGAGATAGTTTTTTTCAGAAACGACACAATATACGATAGCATCGTTAGGAAGTATATTACCATCCTATAATGGGTACTATAGATATCTCGGTAGTTTAACCACACCACCATGTTCTGAAAGTGTCATCTGGACTATATCTTCTCAGTCTATACCTATTTCATCCTATCAGGTTAGTTGATTGATTATGTACTAGATTTCTTAGATTTGTAGGACAATATAGGTCTACCTCGCTTTTGACATGACGAACCCATTATTTATCGCTGTCGAAATGGGCATTCCGTGGCCTTGACTGAAACGTCTGTCTCTATTTCAGCCTCTGATAGCTATTTAGACTGGCTGGTGTAGAGGCAGACAAAATAAGCTCTGCTAATTGGGTGATTTCTGCATCTTCGCAGGTGCGAGTGTTTTAAAACCTATTTCGATACCTCGGAAGTGCAAAACCCACGTATATTTGGAAAGATGAATATTTTTGTAGTTCAGTCATATCCCCCCCCCCTCCTTTTCTCGCTAAACCATTTATGTCACGTCTCCGGTTACATAAAAGGTCTTTTTTAACGAAACAGATTTCGCATCGGACATTTAAAAGTTCAAAGATAACAGAGTCACGTTATACTAACAAAACGAAAGTATGTTAGAAAAACGCATCTCCGGAGGTGTGGAAAATCCCATTAAACAGGGCATATTTTTCTGATTTTACTTCCAGCCGACAACTGTCAACATATCCATCAGAGGCTGAAATAGAGCCAGATGTTTCGGACATTGATGACAAGAGTCGCATATACAAACAGCCTTTGAGACAAAAGATCAAAACCATACAGTTGTGTCTAATATATCCTCACCTAAAAGGCATTAATTTTTTTCTTTTATAATTTCTTTCCTACATTTACTCCAAAACCCCTTTGTGTTTTTACAGATGCAGGCGTTCCGGAGACTGATTTCGTCAGAGATTGACTCCAATGGACAATACCTGTCGCTTGTTAATAATTTCAGACCTGTTCAGAATTTATATGGTAGAAGAATATTGACTAATGTGGTTGGCCAGGGAAAATAAATACTATTTTATATCTATATTACGATAAAGGTGAATAAATATAATTTAAAAATAAAATTTATTACTACCTATTTCAATCATTTCAAACGGTAACTTCACAACATCCCATATCGTTTTTATCCTCATTTTAAAAACATGCAGTCTTTTTACTATTTCTACCGACAAGACAAGTTTTGAGTTATATTTTGACCGTAACATCATTTTGTATCAGAAAGGTTCACAGAACGTTCAAGCTCAAAGTGACCAACATTCAATTAGGCCTAGGTTATGGCGAGTATTTAGTAAGTAAGTCTTGATTAATCAATGGTGTATGTTTCAATATTGACGAGCTTTTTCAATGCTCCAGCTAGCCTAAATTCCTGTCTCGCTTGATGGGTCGTTGATTTACTTTTCAATCGTTTACTCTGTCCCGATTCCACAAATTTGATGACCGTTTTCTATGCTCCGCCAGTCTTCTATTATTATGATGCAATTAAAACAAAACTGTCTGGTGAGTTTTGGAAAATGACTCGAATACATGTACTCAGACATTTAAGTTTATATGGCTGCTATACCACATACTGTCTGTCGAATCTAAAGCTAGAATTTAAAACGAAAACGATTTGTACACCTTTGATGCAGTAAAAATATAAATAGTTGATGAAAGTATAGGGATTTATCTATTACACTAACAGAAATTTTGACACTGAATCTTTAGCAAAATGCAACTTCCAAAAATTATTGGCGTCGCCCATTTCCGCCCGTCCGTCCACAATTGCTCGTAAACACTCTACAAGACACAATTCTTGGCGGGTTTTGACATAACTTCGTGTGAGTGTTTGTTGAGACCCAAGGATGAACTCTATTAGAAATCATGAAAATCGAAAAATATTTAGTATAAGTTATTACCCTTGTTCTTGCAAACGTGTTAAAGTTTTAGCTCGTGAGCACTCTGGAAGGCACCATTCTTGATGGATTTTGACAAAACTTGGCATGGGTGTTTGTTATCACATGAGGGTGAACCCTATCGAAAATCAGAAGAATCGCAAAATATTTAGTATGAGTTATTCCCCTTGGCCTTGCGAACGCGTTCAATTTTTTCCTCGTAAACACTCTAGAAGGCACAACTCTCGACAGATTTTGATGAAACTAGATGTGAGTGTTAGTAATCACCCAAGGATGAACCTTATAGAAAATCAGAAGACTTGAACAATATTTGATATGAGTTATTGCCCTTGTTCTTGGAAATTCGTTCAATTTCTAGCTTGTAAACACTCTAGAAGGCACAATTCTCGACAGAATTTGATGAAATTTGGTGTGCGTGTTTGTTATCACCCAAGGATGAACCCTATAGAAAATCAGAAGACTTGAACAATATTTGATATGAGTTATTGCCCTTGTTCTTGTAAACTCGTTCAATTTCTAGCTTGTAAACACTCTAGAAGGCACAATTCTCAACAGAATTTGATGAAATTTGGTGTGCGTGTTTGTTATCACCCAAGGATGAACCCTATAGAAAATCAGAAGACTTGGAAATATTTAGTATGAGTTATTGCTCTTGTTCTTGGAAACTATTTCAATTTCTAGCTTGTAAACACTCTATAGAAGGCAAAATTCTTGACGAATTTTGAAGAAACATGGTGAAATTGTTTATTATCACCCATTGATGAACCCTATTGAAAATTAAATATTTTTTTTATAGGAGCCATTGACCTCATTCTTGAAATCGCTTTCAAATTTTAGCTCTTAAACACAAATAGGCATAATTCTTGCCGGGTTTTGACAAAACTTGGTAATATTATTCAGTATCGCCCTAAAACGTTCAAAAGAAGTGGACTGAAGGTTGAATAATTCATACTGGTGATTGTTACTGTACTATCAAATATTTTAATTCAAATTCAAAGCCCCCCTCCCTCGCAGCCCCGAAAGCAAGTTTTTCCGCAAATATCTCATAACTAGTTAGAAATTCGGGCATTCTCAGATATTTTGACCCCCCTCGGAAGTAAACCTGGTTCTGCCACTGCGTATATTACCTTGCCTGGCAAGCTATCTTTTTAAACTTTGGCAAAATATTATTGTTTACGAAAATATGCCGGAAAAGGCGTGTCCAGTTGCCCAGTGGTCATTGCTGTGTATTTGATATTTGTCGAACGCATTGTTTTGGATTTGTCAACTATCTGAAGAGTTTTGAAGCACGCGGTTTTTGTCAACACCCAATGTTTATTTCTGACAAGTTCGTGTCTGAACAGATGTTAGATTGTTTACTGAGGAATAGAAAATTTAGAGTCAAACAACTGAGTTTGAATAAATGTAGAAAAACTTTGACAACACCGTTTGGTGCTGGAGGTGTTATTGAGTTGGGATTCAGAAGTTGAAGAACTTGAAAACTCTTCCATTGGGAAAGGCTGTACCCAGGACTAGACTATTACTTAGTAGTTTTAGTGATAAATGGGAAATGAACATATTCGAAACGAATAACGAAAGGCTTATTAAGGATAACATACCAAAGCCAGAGTGTATCAAGATAAATAGCATGGAAAGTGACCACAGTATAAGTAGGGCCTGACGTGAAACATATGTAGCGAATAATGAGTCAATAGCGTTTGTTTATACATGCTGGACTTAATTTAAATGAGAATCGTTTAAAACAGAAGTTATATTCTCCAACTGTAAATTGTAATAGTAGGGAATATTAAAATACCGTGTCCATTCAGTTGCGCACATTCACAGTTTCTGTGGTCAAAATGAATGTGAAGTTTCATAACCAATAATATTTGTTTCAAGAAATGATTGTACAAGTAAATAGTATTCGAAAATACTTGTTAGAATGTGAAATATGAAGGACATATACTGTCGAGGTGAATGAAGGACATTATACTCTCGAAGTGAATGAAGGACATTATACTGTCGAGTTAAATGAAGGACATATTATACTGTCGAGGCAAATTAAGGATACAATTTACTGTCGAGGTAAATGAAGAACATGTACTGTCGAAGTAAATAAAAGATATAATATACACCGTCGAGGTAAATGAAGGACACATAGCCTACTGTTGAGGTAAATGATGGACATAATATACCACTCCATTGTTGCAAAGTATACAAATTGTATGGCATTAAATCATTCGCGTTCTATTTGTTTTCATCAAAGCAATGAATAGGAAATGTCATCAGTATGATATTGGATGTTCGATTAAACCTGAGATTTAGTCAGCACGGAAATTTCATTCATCAAATAGCAGATCAGATGTCTTTTTTCAACGATATTTCATCTGGACATTTACACTGATTTGTGAAAAAAAATACTTTCTAATGGATTAGTCGGAGCTACATGTTAGTTAAAGACAATAAGTAACAATTGTGGGAAACATTTCATACCATTGAGTACAAAATTGTGTTTTGTTCAAGCAATCAGTGGCTATTTAAATCGTTTGAATATATATTGAGCACATCGCGAAAATATTCTAAAATAACAGATCTTTTTTAGTCCTGATGTGGTGGACCTCAACGTTTATTAAAGGAGCATTCCGGCTATTTTGTAGGTAGAAAAATATTTTTTCTCAGATTTGTTCCCAAACTTACGTTTTAACTAAAAAAGAAAAAAATCAGCCGTTTTTTTTTTGGTTTTTTGTTTACGCAAACTTTTTAAGTTAGGTAGCTGTTTTAAAAAAAATAGCCTTCGTTACGGATTTAAGTAAAATATACGCCTAGAGAAATATATCTCCTATGTATTCTAAAGGTTTCAACTAATAATATCGAGACATTATAAAGCCAAACACCAAAACTAGGTAAAACTGCTTTATTAAAATTAGTACTCTCCGTTTTTAATCAACCCTTTTAAAACAAATTCGAGTAGATACATGATGTAAATGTGCAGTGAATGTTTTAAAATACAAAGTACACCACCTCTTCGATCAGTAGTAATCAATCAGCATGAACAATAAATGATACAGAAACGACTGGTACATCAATTTATGGCTTGAGTTCATTTGTCGTTCATTTCAAATGGATTAAAAAAATAAATTTGTTTTACTTCATTCGTGACAAGTTTTATGTGTAAGCCTGATGTTTAACTGTTTAACTGAATGTGACTGTTTTTATCCTGTTGAGAAGACATGAAAAAATAGGATCTCCATATTTTTGTAATGATGTATTTTATAATATGATGTTTCCGTTGCTTTGTTCAAGTCAAGGCTATTATTCACGATGAAGTATCAACAACTTTTGAAAAGGAAAATTTGTTTTAGAAGGATATATACAATGGTTCGCTATCTCATGAAAACTTTATTGTAAGTAGTTTTTGTTTTTAATCAACTTCAGATGTAAAAACTCACTCAGGTCATATATATAATATTATATTATATTGCTGGGTTCCAAGGTTGAATCACTAGACCACTTTAAAGATTTTGAACACTCACCGTCTATTGGCATATGAATCTGTACAGCGCTTGATCAATCATAGAGTATTTAATTATATCTTGCTCTGAGACTTAGGGCCATATGCAGCGCTCGTACTTTACCTAAACTTTGACTAAAGTTAGACTTAAGTCGAAATTTAGGTAAGCACGGATCGATCTATACGAAAGTCGTGCTTAAATTTGACTATCAAATGTAGAAAATGAAAGCCTTAATCCTAACTTTGTAAAATTCGACTTTAGCCGAAGTTCAACTTTAGTCAAGGTAAGAGCGCTGCATACGGCCCTTAAGTTGTTAGTTTTCGCTCTCGGCTTTTTTTAATGTGACAAAAGTGTAATAGCGATAAAGATTGCAGTTTAGATATGATATTTTTAAAAAAAATCTTGAACTGTTCACGACGATTAATAGCCAATGCCCTTGACTTCACTGAATTCGCAGATATTATCTCGTTAGTTTGATAAGCTTAACGCTTTGACAATAATGCAAACAATCAATGTATAATAACACCAGAAGCTTTTGAACTCTACTATTACTTAGTTCATTAAATATCAATCAATGAAAAGTTCATCAGATTCTACAAAAACAATTCTCCTAATGGATGCTATTAATTTGATTCTCTTTTAAATCACTGGTATTTCAGGTGTTTTACACTTCAGTAATTTTTTTATGATATTATAATTTGATAAGGTATATTTTGATTTGAACCCAAGCAGCTTTATTAATGGTCATTATACCAAGAAAATTGATATAAATTTGGATCAAAGAGATTATCTATCATATTTGGTCATTATACTATAATGACTCGACGTTATACAGAATAACCTTTTTTCGCGTTATAAGATGTTTCGAGATTATCATTTCTATTATGAAAGAAACGAGGCCCGTTATTTTTCTGTTTTCAGGGTGACGATGGTAGTTTGTGGTACGATCAGTTTATTCTTGCTCTTAGCACCACCAAATGGACAAGGTTTCTACACCTCCAATCCTGGCATGGTTGAACAGTTCCATTTATCAACTTTTCAGTCCGCGATGAACTCTCCGTCGTCGTTTCATGGTTTGAGGAAAAAACAGTCCGGTAATATTAAAAAATCATCGACTCCAGAGGCTCCTCGTTATAAAAAGGAAATCTGTTCACCAAAAACAAAAATAGTATTTCTCAAAGTTCATAAAACCGGAAGTTCTACCGTGGCTAATATTTTTCAGAGATTTGGAGTAACCCGAGACTTGAATTTTGCTGTACCAAGAAAGAAACCTCACGAACATGGTTATAATTATATTGGTAAACCTGGAGAAACCATCCATTCTGATCTCCTACTTCCATTTCCAGAAGGAGAGTCGTATGACATTCTGTGGAACCACGTCACCTATAACCGCACTGCGTTTAGATCAGTAATGCCTCCAGAGACGGTGTATGTGTCCATTATTAGAGAGCCATTTGATCAGTTTGTATCAGCATTCGAGTATTATAAAATGTACAATATGGCGTATATTAAAAAGATAATGAGTGTAAATGTGACGAATCCTATCTCTACATATTTACAGAATTTCTCCAGAGTGGAAGCTCCTAGTCGTCGGTTAAGTTATGTAAGAAATAAAATGGTGGCTGATTTCGGAATGACATTGAAACAATTATCCAGTAATTCCAAAAGACGTGAATTTTTTGAAAATATAAACAAAGATTTCAAGTTAGTCATGATAATGGAATATTTTGACGAATCTTTGATTCTACTCCGTAGAACATTGTGTTGGAATCATAAAGACATTATATATTTTTCACAGAATAAAAATCCATTTCGACCGCGACGTTTATTCAGTTCGGAGGACCATAGGAGGCATAAGGAATTATCAAAAGCCGATTATGAACTGTATAATTACTTTTATGGTAAATTTGTCCGAAAGATGTCGGCCGAGGGCGGTGATTTTTTTGAGGAAGTACGCCATTTTCGTCATATTGTGCGTAATGTGTGGGACCATTGTCTACTAAAGAAACGATTGTTTGTCCCAGCGTCGATTTGGAGTGAAGAATTTGAGCTGACTCCTCGGGACTGTCGTATGATGAGAACTAGTGAGCTGACATTTTTAGATAAAATAATTACTCTAACAACCGACAAGTACAATCGCCATGTGTCGAATGTTGATCGTCTCTCACAACATTAATAAAAATAACTATATTAATTGATTAGAATCAAGTGACAATTTAAAGGGGAAATTACAATCCCCTTTCAAATGGTTTTTAATAGATTATGTTTTTGTGCCCTTGAAGCCCTTTATAGTACTATAAAAGTCTTTGTTTCGGATTCTTGAAATAATAAAAGAGACAGTTAAGTATCAGAAGAATGTTTTTAATCGTATTAATATATAAATATATGAAATATAATGTCAATATATACAATAATAAGTAATCATACGCGGGAGTGTAATGATTACATGAGCAACTCTCCTGACTTGCTCAGAGGTACAATTTATATACGAAAGGAGTGAACACCTAATAATAAGAATAACTATATTAAGTTTCTATAAAAACCAAGTATCCGTAGACACACATATCAAACCAAACTACGGTTTGGCTTACTACTAGTCAGGATTGGTATGTTCTTGCATACCAAGGTATTTTCAACAAGTACAATAATACAAAAATATAATAATATAAAAAACTTACTTACCTTGAAATAATAAAAGAGACAGTTAAGTATCAGAAGAATGTTTTGAATGAAGACTATAGCGATGTACCGTTTATAAAGGCTTGTGAGGCTTCCAAAAATGCATAGGAAACTCTAAGAACGCATTGGCCAATAACAGGATTAAATCTACTTGGGTAATTAATCTGTCAGCCTTAATCCTTTGATTGGTTTTTGACTCTCAGAACAGTGCAGCTTCATTAAAACAATCTACTAATCAAATACCGTCTCTTTGTTAATTATCTCAAGGCAGCTTAGTGTCATTCTAATTACATGTATTGTTCATACATTTTACTTAAATAATAGTTCATAAAACAATGGCGTAAATGGACTATTACAGTACTACCTTCCACGAATTTGTGGAAGTTGTTCTCTTGCTGAACCTGTTGCTTGTTGCTTTAAAGGGACATATTTGCCATTTCCGGGGGTTGATTACAAGTACTAGGATGTACGAAAATAGCATATTTCTTCAAAAATAAGTAAAACATGGAATTTCGTATTCTATTTATGAGAGTCTCAAGAAAGGCGGGTCGTCTTTCTAACTTTCAACGGGGATAATTCTGGATACACATGGATTTGAAGGCTCAAATTTGTCGGTGAGCGGTGAACGATATTACTGGTTAAAATACTGTTGTGATGTAATCCTTTGTTGTTCGCGTTCTAATATTTTACTTATTGGTACTGGCAAAGTGCCTAGCTCGAGTATCAATAACTGAAGTATTGGACGTTTATTTGGGGGACAACAAAATAACTACGCACTGAATTGAACTTATCTTTAAATCAATTTATACGACACGTTATTAAAGGGACAGATTAGATATTTTTGGGGTGGATTTGGATCTTGAATTTATGTGAAGTATTAGAAATGTACAAAATTCGTATACTTTATTAAAAAATACCTCAAACTAGGAATTCCACATATTATGTCTTTCCAATCTCAAGAAATGGCCATTAACCTATACTAAGCTTCGTGGAATAATTCCAATTTCTGCGACTAAGCTACGGTTGGTCAAATGGATTGCGAATCTTTTCCTTTAATAAAAAATTGAGACAGGCATGTACTGGAACTTAAATAGTAATAAAAACGTTTGTCCACAGAGAATCTATCAATTTGTTCAGCAAGTAAATAAATAAAATAGTTCAACAATCAACAAAGTGGAAATTTAAACAAATCAATAAATATTGTGGTCGAAGTCAACAATCACGTTCATTTAACATATTCTATTTATATCTCCGCTTAGGTCAAATCTGTGGGTCACAGTGCGACTTATACTGTGGACAAGCGAGAATACATGCACCCATAAATTCAGGAACATGGACATATTTTATCATGGGCATTCATATTGTGAAATGCGTTAATTTTTGTTATTACCGATATTAGAGGCTTTTGTGGCTCCTTCAAAAATCGCCTAATCAGCTACAAAAAAGAAGCTCAATGTGATAAATTTTAGATTTTAGAAACAAAAAACTGACGTTCGATTAACCTAAAACTCAACAAATACTGTTATGCGCCATTTCAGCCTACCTGGAGATGGAGTTATTGAAATTCACACTTGCTGTTATTACTTACATGGTTATATATAAGTAATATATATATAGTATGTAACGTACTGTGGTAACTAACGAAAGTCAAAATTATTTGTATGCATAGGACGCTTACTCAACATTCCCGCAAACAAATTATGATGAAAATCGAACTCTTTCAAAGTAATGTGCACGTGTTTCCTCGTATATAAAAACTGTTGTGGGTGTTTGTTCAAGGTACGGAATTACAAACAATTATTTGAAGGATGAATATAAGGTTTCTCAGTATCAGAAACACACCATGAGTGGTGTTAAGCAATCTTTTTAATTTGTAACCTAATATATTTCCCTCGAGTTTCAAAATTTAATCCATAACAAAAGAGAGTTAAATGATCAATATATTGTATATAATGGCTTTTACTCCTCTTCAAGCCTCTGCTTTTAATAACAGACACAATATCGATGTCATGTTTAATAACTCTGTTTAAAAATAAATTCTCAAATATCTAATTTGTTACACAATATATTATATTCTTCAATTTCAACTACCTCTAAAAGTTATAGTTGTCTAATGTCTATCATATTCCAGCTACATTTACTGATTTTCAAAATGAAAATTCCAACCATCAGTATTATTTTACCATGTAGAGAAATAGTCTGAAACATCTGCATCTATTCCAGCCTATGATAACTATTTTAGCAGTTGTCAGATGGAGCAGGGTTATTTTATTTCGGATCTACCAGAGCCTGATATATTCAAAGCAAATGGATATATTTGCAGTTGAATTAAGTTATTTATTGAATTTCAGTCTCTTTTTTCATTCAATTGTATGTGAGCCAAGTGAAAGGTATGTCAAATTTGGTTCTATCCCTTGGTAAACTGGGTAACTGGACGTACAGTGTTCTAGGGTGTTCTTCATTTTACAGCCGACTTGTAATCTTCTATAATCTGTTCAACTGTTTCAAACGACTCTGTAAACATTTCCTATTAACGAAAAATGACCACGCTAAGATTTAATGCTTTTAAAGCAAAATGCACTGGGGTCTCATGGATACATATTAGTGAGTAGATAGGTTTTCAATCCAAATCATCAAAATGATCCTCTTTCCATTTCTTAACGTAGTATCAATACCACCCTGAGTCTTGACATTTCTTCAAAATCATATACGCCCTATATACAAAATGATACATGCAACATACCAGATAATCAAACAAAAACTAACAGACTTACAGGAATAACTATACACTAAATGTATTGCCTTCTTGTGTGATAAAGTTTATAGGTATACTATACCTGTGTTGCTCCATATCTCCAATACCAATGTAAATAGGCTTTATTATCAAACATCAGTTTAGCTTTATTAATAAGCTGAGTAAGATACTGGTTTATATTACTATAGTTAGCTGCTATGGTTATTGAAGAACTATCTTTACCACCAAGTTTATTAGATTTGGCTGGAAGAAAATAAAGATTCAATACACATAGAGTTTAAGGAGAAAGTAAAAGGACATCGTCACACTGACCACCTACTGGAGATGATAACTAAGTATGCTGTATATGATGGTTTGTAATATTAATAAATACATGAGAGTATGGTACCTTACAGGTCTAAACATGTACAAGGCAAAGAAGAATTGCATGTTCTTATAGGAATTATAAAGAGGTTTTCGAAATGTTTTATGTGTATAGGGGACACTGATAACATCATTTTGAATCAATCCGATTTTCAATCAGACGTCTGTGGTTCCTGCAATAACACTAAAACTAAGTGTTTGATGATGTCACTAATCATGAAGGGCCTTGAAATGGTGCAAATTTATGCTATCAGTGTCCCCTATACATATATACAAATTTTAGTAAACCTCTTTACAATGCCTTTACGATTTACTTTCAAAATGTTCCTGTATTGGCTGAAGTGTATATTCTTGATATCAAATTAATCAAACTAACTAGACAAACAAATGACAATGCAAGACCTACCAGACCAGATGTCAAGAGGGAATGGGTTCCAGGTGACACAGTTATATGCAGATTTAATTTTACTATTCAATGTTTTCTGTAAAGACTGATGGAATGTATTGGTCTGATCTCCTCTACCAATTACCACACTGGATAAACAACTATACTACATTTAATATAGGAAATATATGTAATACATAATCTACACAATCTACACATTATTATACTGATTCTTTGAAAATGTTTGGAATGTTATATGAACATGGTCAGGATGATTCGAAATATAATTTGAAAGGATACAGCATTGCCTTGTTTGTCATATTTTGTTAAATTCTGTAAAGACTGACCAACTAGAGCCTCCCATGATAATTTACTGAAAGATAAATGTGAAACAACATAATATGAAAAACAAGCAAACCAGTTATAGTTTACTAAAGATGCATATTACCATTTGTACCAGTAATGTCTTTGTTATTACAGATTATTCTAGGAGGAATATATAAATGAGTGGTACTCTAGAATGCCAAGCAATTAACATTAACATCCTACCTTTTAGCCAGATGATTGACATGTAAGAATTTAGTAGAAGGAACAGGACATGTTGATCTTATTAATTCCCAGGGTTCACTTCCAATGTTAAAGCCTCTGATATAATAAACAACAATAACAATTCATAAATCTATTGGAAATAGTGAGGGATAATGTATAAACCATTTAAACCATTAGGGTTCCTTATGTTCCAATGTCAAAATATTGCATCCAGGTCTTCACAAGGTTAAGCTATTACAAACTTTGTACTTATACCTCGACTGCAATAGTCACATTTCTTCTATCACAGAATGCAGCAATTTGATTGGATTGCACGATAGAGCATACAGCCATTCTGAGCCTTCGACAGAAAGGCTGTAAACATTATGGCTTTGTATTCGCAGACTTTCTGTCGAGGCCTCTGATTGGCTGTATTCACCAATGTACATTCCAATAACTTGACATTGTGAAGATGAGGTGTAGCATGAATACAGGCAATCTGCTAGACCATCAATTTGGAGACAATTACTCCAAAAACACCTACTTTTTGGGTCGCAGAGAATCAGTGGGAAGAAAGACTCCACATAGATGATTGCTGATATACTGGTTTATTTGGTCTAAAGAAACAGATTTATCTCCCATTCTTTTGTGCAGACGATATAGTATTTCATCATTATAAGTTAATATGATACCATCTGTATAACTGAAGCAAATTATATAACAAAAATAAATTGATCCTGATCCTGATATCATTTAAAAACATAAGTTATGTCCACATTTTAAACAGAACCTGAAACATGATGTAACTGAGGGTTTCGGAATGTGAGTAACATCATGTTTCAGGTTCTTCTTTAATGTTGCTAAATTGCTCTACAATCTATGTATTGAACACTATTTTAACAATGAAAATATTTTATTATTGTATAAATGAATGTACATATAAATAAGTGAATAGGAATATAAGGTTATTTCAAGCGACTTGAATTGAATAGTCATCATCTTGTATAAAAATGTCCATATACTTTACTTAAAGAGACAGATTCACTATTTTGGGGGGGTTGATTTGAGTCACAAAAAATAGTGTTCAGAAGTACTAGAAATGTACGAAAATCGTGTAATTCCTTCAAAAATTTCTCAAACTAGTAATTTTATTCACTATTTCTATATATGTCTTTCTTTATATAACAGAGTATCTTAAAATGACGCATTGTCATTTTAACATTCAAACATGGATAAATCTGGACATACATGGATTTGCAAGCTCAAAAAGAAGCGTCAAAAAAATGGCACACCTTTAAAATTCATTGAAAATTTTGGTTTAAATTTTTCAATAGTTTATACAACTTTGGTCTAAGAGTTTGTTTTATCCACAATATCATTAAATAAAAGAAATAAATCTTACTTTTGTAGTGTAGATAATGTTAATAAGGAATTATAATGTTGTAAAGGACTGTCACCAGATGAAAATGGAGCAAATGAACAGGACAAGATGTAATTCATTGGATATTCATCTCTTAATAATTCACATAATCGTGAACCCAGACCTTCAGAATGAACAGAATATAGAAATAAAGTTGGGAAAAAGTACACTAAACCAAAAAGACACTATTTCAACTCAATATTTTGGAGAATATACTTAGAAGTCCCTAAAAAAATTTGATCTAAATAACAAAAATAACATATTCTTTAATTCCACAATTTGAGAGATGTAAAAGGCCTACAGCCATCAAAGATGTTTACCTGATTGAAGTGATATTTGTCAGACAAGGTAAGGCAAAAACTAAGAGTCAATGTATAACTCAAAACACTGACTGTGGCATTGGAAAATATTTATAAAATAATATGAAATGTAATGATGGAAATAACCCTAACCTGATCCTGTTCCTCCACCTAAACTATGTAATAAAATAACACCATAGTAACTATCACATCTACAATATAAAACATCACTGTGATAACAGAGATAATAAAATAACACCATAGCAACTATTATAGAACATCATTGTGAACGGTGATAAGGTAATAAAATATCATAATAGTAAATATCACATATTATACAATATAAAACAGTGTGATAACAGAGATAAAAAAAAATACAAAACCATAGTAACTACTAACTATCACATCTACAATATAAAATATCAGTGTGATAACAAGTGATAACATATCACCATAGTAACTATCCTGTCTACAATATAATATATCATTGTGACAACAGGTAAAAAAATAATATCAAACTGATGTAGCCTATCACTCAGACAGTCCAAAATAGCAAATTGTTTATTTGGAACATTTATCATCACATATAATTTTGAGAAAATATCATACCTTTCAATCTCTTTTCTCAAAGCATCCTCTGAATCTGTTAAAATATGATCTTCTGATCCTGATGAGAAACCATTGTAACCTAATGCCCAATTTGAACCTCTTCCTTTTTTACCACAGATAACATTCTTTTCTCTTACAAAAAAATCATAGATCAAAGTTTCATAGGAAAGGATTCCTAAAATAACAAGACACTTATTTAAATGTTAAAGCACCACTCTTCTAAGATTCATTTTTGTTTCTAATGAGCTTATGTTATATGCTTTAGAATTGATATTAAATTGTAAACATTAAGGATTACTTAATCTTTCAATCTTTCAACTAGAATTTAACTGTGAACTCATTTTCATAAAAATATGTAGCCTTGCTGTATTTTAGATTTATGAATTTTATGATTCCTGTTTGTCAGTTTCCTTCAAGAATCTCCATGCTTAATGACAATATGTTGAAAAACATTTCAGTTTATTCTTCAAAAATATCCAGAACACAGAGACAATTTAGCCAAGTTTTTCTTATTGTTCAGGAATTATAAAAATAGGGAAGATGTAGCCAACCTAATATTTAAGGAAGATTTTTTCATCTGTGATATAACTTTGGTTTCACTATCAACATGTACAGATCTTACTTCACCACCTGGACATTTATATGTGTTACTGAAATATAACAGAAAAAAAAATGATTCAAATTATTTGTATTTTGTCGTCAAAGAATGAATTGCCAATTGGAGTTATTTCCCTTACTCAAGAAAGTAAAATTTTAAGTCAACTTCTTATGTAAAATGTAAGCGCCAGTTCGTGAGTTTTATGTCAGACTGTTGACTGAAACTGTAAAGGTTTCAGGAACTATTTTGTCTGACACACAGACTTGCTATCAAAAGTGGCGTACTCTCCGTAATCGTATTTTTCGACATTTGCGTCATTGAATGATGAATTTTGGACTGTTAATTTTGTTTGGTCTACCTTTGCAATACTTCACCGTCGGAAGTAAGGGTTTTCAAAATACTTTTGCTGACTTGATTTCCACACTGCCCGACATTTAGAAAAATTGTGGACATTTTTTTCGGGTTCAAGGCGTTGAGAGCAGATTATTAAGAAAGTAATAATAGAAAATTATTGAAAGTTGGTAAACACAGGAAGTAAACAAACAGCTACGCTTTTTCTTGTCTTTTTCGTTAAAGAGTTGGGAGTAATAATTTGTTGTTTTTTTTTCATTAAAAATGTAGATCTAATTTCATATCTAAGATTCATTCAAAATACTCAAAAAATGAAATAGAATTAGTTTTGTTAATTTGATGATATAAACCTAGTCACATGCCGTTTGAAGCCAAAAGTACAATAATAGTATATTTGGTTTGAACAATCACAACTCCCAACATAAAAAGTGGGCGTGGTACCTGACCTATTTCACTTTGCATTATTCTCTTTTAAAAGGCAACCATGCAAGTAAATTTCTAACTGTATTTGTACTTCAGATAGATGTATAGATAGAGGAATAGTTCGTGAACTGTTTTTTCAAGGTAAGTGATCAGAAACTTTTGACCAAAAAGTCAAAGTGTGACACTAACAGTTTGATAGATTTTTATCTATTGTCCCTCTTAATCTCTATATTGTTTCTTGTTGGTATATATTTATTATGTTTTATTCTCTTGCCATTACATCTGATGACGACACGTGTATATTGTGTTGAAACGTTATGTGCCCAACCTTATTAAAGAAGTGTGTTATATTCCATAATATTGTCTATTGTTTTGTTATATGTAACAGATTGACCGATCATGGGATAAAATTTTGCTTAATTTTCACTCACCACCCTTCCACCCAGTCGTGTTGCACTGCATGAATAACTTTTCCCATTCTGCAAAGACAGCTGCGATTGTTAAGCGCTTGCATCTCTTTAATATACTTTTTTTTTATTATCTGTGACAGAAGGATAGACCTATTTAATACTCTTCACACATGATTTGTGTAATACGCAGATGTGACACATTATTCCAATTTATATCGTGACTCTTTTAAGTTTTATCTAAGTTAACTGAAGAAACACAATAGGTTAAGTAGGCTACACTATTACTCATAGGTTCGATTTTATATAAGTTCTGATTATTCAAATGTCAGCGAACTATATTTTGTTGGAGGCTAAACAAGGTCTGTAAGCTAACAAAGTAGGTGGGCGGAAACATAATTTACTCATACAAAGTTCGCAGTAGTAGGGCTTTTTGAAAGGACAGGTGTATGGAATGCCAAAACGGAAAAAATCCAAAATCCAAAATAAAAAAATTAAAAATTGTTTTATTTTTTCCGTTTTGGCATCACATACAGGTGCGCCATTTTTTGTGGACAAATCGTAGGCCTACCTTAGTCTCAGAAACGGATTTTTTTTTTTAGCTAAGTCAATGATCAATTATAGTGTATATAGACCAGAGGGAGAAGGGGGAGTATTTTCACCCGAAAGGGGGCAAAATCTGAGTAAATACAAAATGTGTACAAAATTCATTGATATCATCTAGAAATTGACAAAAGCCCATTAGTGTGAATCGGCACTATCTATAAGTCCCAATTCTTTGAGGTTATCCAGGTCAAAGGTCACGAAAGGTCAAAATAGGTCATGACATTGTGAAGATGAAGTTTGTAATAGCTTGGCATTGGGAAGATGAAGTTTGTAATAGCTTGACATTATGAAGATGTAGTTTGTAATAGCTTGACATTGTGAAGATGAAGTTTGTGATAGTTTGACATTATGAAGATGTAGTTTGTAATAGATTGACATTGTGAAGATGAAGTTTGTAATAGCTTGACATTGTGCAGATGAAGTTTGTAATAGCTTGACATTGTGAAGATGTAGTTTGTAATAGCTTGATATTGTGAAGATGAAGTTTGTAATAGCTTGACATTGTGAACATTACAATAGATTAAAATAACAATATGCTTATATTTAGAACACCATCTATTTAGCTAATACGATTCTAGTCTTACTTGATCACAAACATAAATAATTACATGTTCAAATACAAAATAAATTCAAAGTTTCAAAACATTTTCAGGAGAATGATCCACTAAATCTAGAAATACAAGGCAACTCTCGGTGGTTTTTATAATTTTAAGAAACTAACATCATCGGCATGATTTATTAGTCTACCTCTCGAATATTTTGAAATTCTACAAATTTTACTTCATTAAAGGGACAGATGCGCCTTCAATTCCATGTGTGTCCAATTCAATTCATCGTTTGAATGCCAAAATGATGACTCGTCATTTTAAGATTATACTCTGTGATATATAGAAAAGACATATGTAGATAAAGTGAGTAAAACTCACAAGGTATTTTTGAAGGAAATATGCAATTTTCGTACATTTCTAGTACTTCTGAAGACTATTTACATATTTTCAAGACTAAAATCAACCCTCTAAAATGGCACATCTGTCCCTTAACCAAAACTGGAGGTATAAATCTAGAAATGCTGGAGACACTTTATATTACTATTACCATAGGATTGGAGATCTTTAAATTTTAAACTACAAACTGTTTTTTAGTTGCCAAGGGAAACTATGGTGGATTGTTAACTGGTCTTCAAATTATATGTATTACGTTGTTCAGTTTTCGAGTTTATAAAAACATGACATAAGAGATTCGATTATATCATAACGTACCATAAAGATTATTGAATTGTTCAGCATTCAAAATCAAAATGGATGGGAATGTAGAAGAGTTGGAATGTGCTGTATGTCTTGGACCATTCCAGGAACCTAAATTATTGGATTGTCATCATACATTTTGTAGGAAGTGTCTGGAAGACCTGACTAGTTCCAATTTGGCGGGTAGCTTCAACGCCATCAAAAATGTAACAAAATCAGCAAAATTCCTGAGGAAGTTTTCAACAAATTTTTATCTATCTGCTCCATCAACGAGTTCAACAAACAGAACAGGAGATACAGATTACTGCTCTGTGAAGACTGTAACACCATTTTGTGTTCGACATGCCTTCTTGGTCAACACTAAAACCATTCTTATCTTGATATTGAAGACTCTAAAGATGTCATTTTAGAAAATTACAAGACAGTCTGAAACGTAAGTTAGAAGAATTGAAAACAGTGAAGTATATAGCCGAGGATTCGTTGAAGAAAATCAACGAATATCGACAAACAGCACTGAGTAGTTGCCAGGCAGAACTTAAGAAAAATTACTATCAAAATCAGAAGAAACTGAACACTGTTCTCAGTAAAGTGAATACCCTGAAATCTCAGATAGAGAAAGATAGTCGACCTATGTTTTCTCCCCCCGTGTCTGACGTCCTTAGTACTGCATACAGCGTGCTAACTATATTGCTAGAATGTGGCGGCTGTCTGATCAGCCTCTACCCACCGCGTCAAATAATGGTTGGACGAACGATTTAATGATTAAATGAGTGAAGACACCATTATTATCCAGATGAATTATCGTGGAACTCGATGAGGAAATCCATCTGGACTCAAAAGAAACTGTTGACGAAGAACTGTTCGACGACGTGATTAATGCATGTACATGTACTAGTAAATAATTTATTTCGATAGGTGTTTTAACAACTACTTGATATTGCTTATGACATGATCAAGTAGATCCGTCTTTCAATTTTGACCTATTTTGACCTTAGTGACATTGGACCTGGATTGCCTCAAAGAATTGGGACTTATAGATAGTGCCGATTCACACTAATGGGCTTTCGCCAATTTCTAGATGATATCAATGAATTTGTACACATTTTGTAGTTAAATTCTCAATTTTTAACATTTTTTTGCGTTATTTGACCTTTCGTGACCTTTGACCTTGAATAACTCAAAAACGCCCCCTGACCCGGCACTTTACCTCCCAGATTTGGATTCCTGACGAAAAATGCCCTCAGGTCTAATACGGCTTACCGTCGAAATTTGAGCCTTCAAATCCATGGTTAGAATTATCCGCGTTTAAATGTTTGTTTCCTCGGTAATTTTAAGAATGATAAGCCCGGAAAAGCAATTTCGAGTGATCTGACACAAAACAATTTGGGGAGTTTTTAAGAGTTACCAGCCTGCAAACGTTATTTCCAGCTATAAGACAAAACGTTCAATTTTCGATTGATTTCGAAATAAGGGGAATTGAAATTATCTGGGGACCGTAAACAACATTTCCAGTTTTCTGAGACAAAACGATTTTGATGAATATCGTAATTTTTGTTTTGTGATAAATCTTTAATTTTAAGAGTTCAATGACTTATGGTTCTTATAAATGTCCCCGAAATGACTAAAATTTATACCTGTGGAATTGGAAATTTTGAGTTGCGCAATAGGCCCATATTATATTCAGCAATTTATACGTGAATTATGACGAACGGACTAATTTTAGAAATCCGAAATTTCGACTTAATGAATCCGAAATTTCGAGTTGCGCAATATATATTCAGACAAATGAATATAAAAATATTTTTTTCAGCTGTACCTTAAAGGCCTTCGTACAATTGCAATGCAACAGCCTAATGTCTCTTTATTTCAATATATGAAAGAGAAATTTCACAGTGATCGATAACGCTATTGAAAGGCTGAGCATATATTCACCTCACTATTATAACCATATTGAATAAACTGTTAGAAAAGATTGTGTTTAATTTAATCTCTACTATTGTAAATGTAATAAACTAAAATGGATGGTGTTGTTAAGAAAAAAAAACAGAAAAGAAATGTAGGAACAGGCGTTGATTTTAATTATACAATCTCATATTTTATTTGCATATATTTCTATTATTGGATGAGACTCTTGTGATCTCAGTGAACTAACAAATGGTTCATGATATTCTAGGTTGACAACGGATCTGACAAACTCTTTGCTTGCTAGTATAACGATAACATATATATAGATACTTCAGTGACCAGTTGATGGTTTTACTTTATTCGCACTACTTGCCATAATGTCGAAACAACAACCGAAAACCATCCAAGAATTACTGACACCGTGTTTCGTGGTTGACAAACTGATTTTAAACAGAAATGCAGAAAAAATGCTGCACACATCTAAAAGTCTTGGAGTGCAGCTTCGACCCCACATGAAAACACAAAAGACATTGTAAGTAAGATATTCTTATAGCTGTTAATTATGTTATTAAAATAAAACATTTTCAGAATCTATATTTTATGTTCGTAGTTATTTTATCTGAGGTCAAAATCACGCGAATTCGTTTGAGTATACTTTATAATTCATGTGGATACGATGCCGAATATATTTAACTGGGTATTATGGAACTAAATCTGTATTTGTATATCAAGAGAAATTGGGGAGCTCATGACTGGTGGTACCAAATCAACTATATGTGTATCAACAGCAAATGAAGCTATATTTTTCTCTAAAGGAGGATTTAAAGATATATTATATGCTGTACCAATATCAGAACAAAAGATTCACATGTAAGTACAAATGTAAATAGTTAGATATCAGGCCTGTCTATATGAATTGATGGGAGACAACCGAAGCTTCCCTGTTGTTGATAATGAACCATAAACCTGACCTACAAATATTTTTTTCAACCGATCTCGGTTTTCTCGAGTGAAAGAGGTCAGCGTGCGTTATTTACTAGAACCAAAAACGTTACTAAGAATTTCTCACCGAGTTCTTTTTCATTGTAGGTTTTCTGTAAAGGGTTAAGGATTTGCAATGGAATGTCTACTGCTAGATAAAAATGTGTTATATTGCAGATGCCAGAAATTGGTGAAAGAAGGAGTAGATTTGAAGCTTATGTTTACCAGTTATTATGGAGTTGAATGTATGAAAAAAAATCCTCGACCTGATGGTGCCAAATGGTCGGCTGTTTTGGAGGTTGATTGTGGATATGGTCGAAGTAAGTTGGCCTTATATGCAAATCGTCTCAGTATTACTTGCATGCTTCACCTTTCTACTGCCAATGGGTACGAAATATCTCGAGCCTTATTGATCTAAATTAATTCAGAGACAAAAAAAGCACAGCCAATAAGTTCGTTATCACAGAGAGAGATACAGTATACCTTCCTTTACTTTATTTTAGCCGGAGTTGAGTTTGATAGTGACGAATTGGTAGGAATTGGCAAGTCTGCATCTGAAGCAGACAACATCGACTTCATGGGGTTGTATACTCATTGCGGTGACACTTATGATGCAAAAAATGTGGCCGGAATACAAAATATAAATGACAGTACATCGGATCGACTAAATGAAGCAGCAAAACGGTGAGTCGTGTTAACATCTTTTTTAGGATATTATTATCATAGCGGTAAGATCTTTTCGAGAATACGTGGCCTGGGTGTCATATTCCAGAACCAAAAGTCTGGTGGTTTGTATCACAATTATGACAGTGGAAGAGATTATATGTCAAACTGAACGACAACCCATGTAATATTTCAGCATTTTTATAGCGTTTACTTTTATTCCAGATTAACTGATAATGGCATCAAGTGTCTAGTAATTGGTACCGGAAGTACTCCCGGATGTAATCAGCCGACTCCCAAAATGGCAAATCTTACGGAATTTCATCCTGGTTGTTACATTTTTAATGGTACTATATTGTCAATCAGTTTAATCAACCAGGAAAGCAGTGTAATGGCCTCACTAGCTCATAGAATCCGCAAAAACTTAATTTATATATTTAATTATCAACAACAATGGCGTCATACATAAACAAACTATATAAAGATCTTGATAATCCAGTAACTAAAATTATGCAGGGAAACAACTCTATTTCGAGTTCTAATTATTCAGACGACAATACTACAAGCAGCAATACACGTTTAATTCTGACTTCAGAACTCCTTGAGAAAATCAGTCTTCTATCTATGACTAGATTGGCAACTGGAGTGTAACCACATTTTAGGCCAGTTTCCATGAACCGTTTGCAGTGAGAATCATGCACAGAATGTGAGTGAAGAGCAATCCTAGGTAAGCGTTCAAAAATTTTTTTACAGCCGATTTTAAATTTGCTTTCAGATCTTTCAATGACGATGAATGGAGCAAATTTAATATCAGACATAGCAATTAGGGTTGCTACTCGGGTAATAGACCATAAAAAATCTAAAAACTACCTTATCATTGACTGTGGTTTTACGGCTTTGAGTTTGGACGGAATACAAGATGGTATGGGTTATGAAGGAATGTGTTCATTTCAAGGTCATCCTGAACTGAAGTAAGTATTTCAAAATCATTGTCGTCGTCAACATCATTATTGGTGTGGTAATTCTCGCTACCATCTGTATAATAATCATTGTGTGATCGTGGTCATTATTATCTACGTAATAAATATCATTTAGGATAAGTCATCATTATCAATACGATATTGTCACCATCTTTATCATTGTGTCATTGCAATTATTGTTATTGCCCTGATCATTATCGTTTTCGTCATCATCAGCGACGTCGTGTTTTTTAATATCATTTTCGCAGACCCATTGCTACAGGGCAAGGGGAGGGGGTAAAAGGATTGCCATCCCAGAAAAAAATTCTGACCTCCAACCAATTCCATTCCTTCAACTAAAAACGCCAGCGTGGTCATTATCAACAACTTTATCATTATCTTCGTTATCATCGTTACCGTGGCATCGTTGTTCCGATCATCATTATAATAATCATTTTTAAATCTTTTTAAAGACTGTCATTATTACTTTGCTGTCGTCCTCAGTAGGTGATTCGTGCAAACTCCAGATAAATGCATTTAGAAAAATCATCATGCCCGTTATCACGTTAACATTATAGGTTGAAAGGAATGACCCAGGAACTAGGGAAGGTGTCAGCAGCGTCTGGGACTATTGATTTAAATAGATATCCTATTGGTACCATACTGTTTATATACCCTTGGCATGTAAGTTACACTTTCAACAATCCAGAATGGCTAATAAAGACATGTCTATTTTGTGATTTTCTTCAAAAACATTAGTGGTTAAAGGAACCCACCAAAACTATCAAGTGATGTATAACCCCCATTTGCGAGATGAACCAATCTGGATAAATGTTTATCCTTTGTTTAATATGATTCAATAATATTATTATTTAAATTTGTATTATTTAGGCTTGTCATACAGCGGCTCTTCATCCAGTGTACTATGTACATGATGGTGATAATGTTACTGATGCTTATAGACCAACACGTGGATGGTGAAGAGGGGTTAGCCTTGTCAAAACATGAACTTGTCAATATATTCCCCCTTCTGTCTAAATTAAGGCACGATGTCAATGCCATGTTCATGTGGTCTAATGTCTTCAGATGTGTATAGTACTTTGTCAAATGTATACGCCGAAAAGGTGAATTAAAAACTATATCAAATCTATAAAAAGCTGATTTTATTCTAAGTAAATATCGCCATTTAAAGATCAACAAAATATTCACAACGATCAAAATTAAAAATAAAAATAAAATTATTTATAATTGATATACAGAGAGAGACGACGTCATAAATGAAGGACACCAAATAAACTACTCAAATGACCTGGAAGGATGTTCTGACCAATACATCTCATCAATGTTAGATGAGAGAAAGAAGCAAGGGTCTTGCTGCCGTCGTCGTGAACATACAAATACAATATAAACCAATAATGTCTCTTGAAAGGTTCAGAAATGCAACATTTAACATCACTGTTTTAATGGCACTTCGTTATACCGTCATTACTCTGATAGCCAATATGAAGCAATCAGATGCAACTTTGGAGTAAAAACGATACAAATAACAAGTATATAGTGCAACTTGAGTATTTTTCTGTAAGCAATTGTGGTCATGAACACTAACTGATGATATTTAAATGCCGCAGGCATATACTCGACGAGAAATTTTCAATTGATCTAAAGATATCTCATTTAAAAAAATTAGCATGAGAAAACTATTTGATTAATTGGTGTTTCTAATGAATTATCGTGTATTCTTAATCAAATCAATATGTTCTTATTGCATATGCTTAAGAGTTTTAATCAGTCATAAATGTCCATATATGTACAGTCTGGATAAACAAAAAAAGACTTTTTGACCTTTCTAGATCACTCATTGGAATTCTGCTGGTAATTCTCTTCTAATTTAGCTAATTATGAATTAATTATGGACATGTGAGACAAACTGGTATTTTTCTTCATTCATTCATTTCTTCTTTCTATTCATATAAGTATTAACATTTACATTTTCATAAATGAAAATAATAGAATCCATCTTTAAGCAATGAATTATCGCTTAATACAATTGAGCCGAAGAAATTGCATTTTTAAGCCATCATGGTTTTGTAACTGTTAGACAAAACGATTTAAACTATTGAGTAACTACTCAGTAAGTTGGTGTAGTGAATAGGAGGGGGCCAGGTCAATGTATGAACAGCAGACATAACCAGTCATATTCAATATATGTCTAAAAGGACACGATAGCTTTAATATTGTCACAGTTATTACTCAGAAATTGCATAGATTTATTTACAAAAGATATACAGTAAAGTATAGGTTTATATCGAACTGTCGTTAGTCGAAAGAAAATCCCATCGATTTCTAATTATTATGAAATAAACTTATAACTAAATCGAGCGATATTTCAATTGATACAGACGTAAATTAACATAAACCTAAAACAATGGTGTTGATCTTTAACTAAAAAATAGTTCAAGTTGACAAACTGTTCCATAAGTTTTGTTAATTTTAATGAGAACATCTTGGCATAAATATTTGGATCCATTAAAAATTACTGCAAGATCTTCTTGGAATTATTCGATTTACGAAAAAAATATAGTAATATATTATAGCACTTTCAGATATCACATCTTTCACCATCACCAGATGATACTGTGTTTGAATCGCTATTGGTTCCGATCCATGGGTCCAACAAATTCTGACACATGTATTTATTGCTGTAAAAATTACTACACATACTAATATATCGAGGATTTCAATTCATCAGGGATTTATATACGATCATAATAATTCTAAGTTTGGATCATTTTATAAAGATAATATGATGAGTGATTGGAATGTTTCAACCACTCCATTTATCTGTGGCAATTTAGAAATGGAAGCGATGTGTTAATACTAATATTAGAGTAATAATAGAACTAACTGTTTGTGATCTCAAAACTTGGTCACATGATCGCCATCCCTTACTTTCTCAACGTCCCCGTTCTCATTATTTGTAGTTGCATCACTTGGGGTATCATCCACAGGTTTGATGACTGGCGCACTTTTAACACTGCCAATTTTATCTGTAGAATTACTTGATGTATCCTTGACATCATTTGGCACAGATTCTGAAATGTTTGGCGTCGACACTGATTCTGAAACAACATGGCCGTTTGAACTGACTTGGCCATTTGCTTTTTTCTTGTCAAAACCGTTCTGGAAGGCAGCTAGAAAGACATTTGGAGTACTAGTACCTCCAGTACTAGTAGTCATTGGGGCTGGTGTAAGAGAACCTGCAGCTCGGAAAGCTAGTTTTCCCAGTGCTGACGTTTTCTCTGGAACACCTGAAAAATATAGTCAAGAGTCCAAGTTAATTATACAAATCAATAGCCACAGTATAAACACGTACCTCACTAAAAAAGCAATTTTTACTTATTTTTCTACATAAAAAAAGATTTTAATAGTGTGATCATAAAGATGGGTTCCCTTACTTTCGTTTATGAGAATGAAAATGCTAATACTTGTATGAATAGAAGGTAGAGGTGTTCTAATGACTTCGAAAAATACCAGTTTGTCTCACATGTCCATAATTAATTCATAATTAGCTAAATTAGAAGAGAATTACCAACAGAATTCCAATGAGTGACCGATCAAGAAAGGTAAAAAAATATTTTGTTTTAATCCAGACTGTACATACATGGACACTTATGATAGTAGCTCTTAATTATATGCAATAAGAACAAAATGATATGATTACGAATATATGATAATTCATTAGAAACATCAATTAATCAAATAGTTTGCTTAATTTGAAATTACAAAAATAAGGAAATCCATCTTTAAAAAATGTATTTGAGTTATTGAGCACTAGTTTGTGTAGTCTAAAAAATTGAAAATAAGTCAATTGTTTTAGTTTACAGACGAATTAGCAATGGCATCCTGAATACTCACCAACTATAGTGTTCACTTCCCAGGCTGGCACATTATGGTCATCACAAATCTTTTTCAACAACGTTACTTGTTTCTGCAATGATATTTGGATATTTCAGCTAGATTAGCCTCCCTTTACATTTATTTCAAACTACACAAGTACGTAATCTTATAACCCTGTCAAAAATATATCGAATTTTTCACGAACATGATACATGTATATTAATAAGAAAATTGGACAGTCAATTAATTATCACAAACAAAGAATATTACAAATATTATTCGCTCTTATTTTGCTTTTTAAAAATGATTGTATTAAAGTATTCACCTCCAGTTCGACTACTTTTGCCACATTTTCAGTGTTTGTTTTTTCTACTTTTTTCTTTTGTTTATAGATAATTTTGAGATTGTATCGTTCTTTCTCCATTACGGCTACCACCAAACCTAAAAAAGAAATTAACACATGTAGATTTCTTGATGTTTTTTAACGGTGACCTGAAACATTGTTGCCGTGACCACTGGGAACATTTAAGTGTTCATTTATATATCTTTACTTACTGTTAAGGATTCGAATAATTCTCCAGGGTAGAATGAAAGTAACAGCCAGTACAAATTCACCGACATCTAAACCGAGGAATCCATCAATAAACACTAAATCTAATATGAAAGAAACCAAAACAACGAAGGCATCGAAAACCTGAAAATACAATAAAAATGTGAGGTTGTCGGCATTTTGGGAAACGATCGATTAATAAATGGCAACTGCCTTAATAAATTCCGTCAACAATCTCCGGTAAGTTTTATTAACTACGTTTATGTCCAGCTTACCAATACTGTAGCATGACATCGCCAAACACAAAATATTTCGGTTTTGTATCATGACGTCAACCAACCTAATGTATTTATGTGTTGTATCATGACGTCAACCAACCTAATGTATTTATGTGTTGTATCATGACGACAACCAACCTAATGTATTTATGTGTTGTATCATGACGTCACTAAACCACATGTTTTTAAAGGGGCTGTATAACGTTTTCCCTTTTGAAAATTGAAACTAGCATATATAATTATATTAGATATTCCCATTACTTCATTTTCCATGGTCTGTGTGACAAATTTTAATGATGTATTCCACAACAAATTAATCTTTGGATATTTTCTATCTGCTGTTAGTGGTCAAAGCTCTATGAATTCATTTTAAAGGAATACTACGTCTTAGAATAAACATGAAATTTAAGAAATTTAAACTTGGCCAATAAGAGAGCATATATTCATCAGTAGATAAACCTGGTGTCATGAATTACATAACAGGATCCTTAAATAAGGTGATAAATCCAAAAAAACTCCATAAAAATGCAATCAACTATTGAAAAACGCTTAAAATTAAGATTAAGCGTTTTTCAATAATTATTTAGTTTTATGAATCTTCCAATTTTCCAGATTTTACAGGGATTTTGTTGTAACTTTATGACACCATGTAAGTTCACTGATTAATATATGTTGACCATTCTTGATAACTTAAAGTTTATGTTCATTCTAAGACGTAGTATCACTTTAACTTATATCCTTATATAAATTTACAGCTGAGTTGAGAAGAATAAAGAGACACGATTTCTTAAAGGTCATTCATCCGCGATTGAAAGCCCGCAAATTGGACTGGTATAAATTATTAGAGCATAAAACATTTTACCTGTAATTTTTGTTTAAAGAATCTAGGCACTGTACAAAATATCTTTATCATAGTCTGAAAATATACAAAAAATCTATTTTTACAGAGAATGTTAAATTTCATTTAGGATCTCAACTGGAAAACATCCCTATCCTCGAGTATTCACATTTGAAACAATTTATCTTGAATTGTACTTTGTTTATGCCTTCCAGACATCATAAATTAAGCTGAAGATAAACTGTTTTCTCACAATTTGAATCGATTGAATGATAAAGGTTATAATGAGTCCAAACTGGCCTACAGTAAACATATTGAAGAGACCCTGTGGATTTTCGTACAAGATAAAAAATATTGTATCAGGTTTGTTATGTTACCATATTTGGATATTGTGACACTTATATTGCTAATAAAAAAATGTGGTTTTAGCAAAATTAAAATGTAGGAAAAAGTGAGTTGTGCCTAAGGTAAAGGCCCAAAATTTCTAAGGACCTTTAATGGGATTTATACATAGAGTGGAATAATATATACCTCTATCAAGAGTATAGCTAAAATGGTGATACTTAGGTAGTGAAAGATATGACTGATTTTCTCTTCAATATAATGCGTCTTTCCACCATGTTCAAAGAATAAAGTTTGCACAAAGTCCTTTGTGTAATTTACCGACGGTGAACAGGAAAAATCCACCTGCGGTTCACAGGCATGACTATAATACATAGAACCGTTAATCCAGCCAATATCAGACACTAAAATGCTCTCATACATTTTGAAAATCTTTTTAGAGGTCATTCCTGAAAGACTAGTTACATCTGGATATTTCGCCTGCATCTTTTCTAAAAACTTTCCCGCGTTCCCATCCTTCATCTCAATCAGGTCTGAAAATAGAATCAAACAAATCACTTGGTTATTTGAGGAAGAATTAGAATTAAGATTTCTTTTATGTTTCTCACTGAAAGATTTTGATTTTCAGTTATATTTCCTCTATCTGAGTTATCTTATTTTGATTTTATCTTATTTTGTAATCCTATTTTGTTATCTTATTTTGATTTCCAGTTATATTCCTTTCTTAGTTATCTTGTTTTGATTTTTAGTTACATTCCTTTCTTAGTTATCTTGTTTTGATTTTCGGTTACATTCCTTTCTGAGTTATCTTGTTTTAATTTCCAGTTATATTCCTTTCTTAGTTATCTTGTTTTGTTTTTTAGTTATATTCCTTTCTTAGTAATCTTGTTTTGATTTTAAGTTACATTCCTTTCTGAGTTATCTTGTTTTGATTTCCAGTTATATTCCTTTCTTAGTTATCTTGTTTTGATTTTTAGTTATATTCCTTTCTTAGTAATCTTGTTTTGATTTTTAGTTACATTCCTTTCTGAGTTATCTTGTTTTGATTTTCGGTTACATTCCTTTCTGAGTTATCTTGTTTTGATTTCCAGTTATATTCCTTTCTTAGTAATCTTATTTTGATTTTTAGTTATATTCCTTTCTTAGTTATCTTGTTTTGATTTCCAGTTGCATTCCTTTCTTAGTTATCTTGTTTTGATTTTGAGTTACATTCCTTTCTTAGTAATCTTGTTTTGATAATCAGTTATATTCCTTTCTTAGTAATCTTGTTTTAATAATCAGTTATATTCCTTTCTTAGTAAACTTGTTTTGATTTTCAGCTACATTCGTTTCTGAGTTTTCCTGTTTTGATTTTCGGTTACATTCCTTTCTTAGTTATCTTGTTTTGATTTTCAGTTATATTCCTTTCTGAGTTATCTTGTTTTGATTTTCAGTTACATTCCTTTCTGAGTTATCTTGTTTTGATTTTCAGTTATATTCCTTTCTGAGTTTTTTGTTTCGTTATCTTTTTGTGATTTTCAGTTATATTTCTTTCTGCGTTATCTTGTTTCGTTATCTGGTTTTCATTTTCAGTTATATTCCTTTCTGAGACGCCATGTTTTGATTTTCAGTTATATTTTTCTATCCTTTCCTGGATTTTTGTCCTACTAATGTCTTTATAGATGATCCACTTTTGCCACTTGGTTATTAAAGTCTATGTGCCAAGTTTCGAATTATTTCAATTAAATGCTAAATGCCTCTCTCTGGACTTTTCTATATGGTGTTTACAATACAAGCTGCTTGATTTGATAACATCTTTTTTTCTCTCAGCTTTAGGTTTAACCTGTTCCGTATTCTGTAACACTATCCACAGTTAACGTGGAATTAATAAGATTTAAAGTCATATAATTAGACTTCATAGTTACTACTAAAATAGTGTTATCATCTAGAGCTGAGTCGTTAATTCAGCATTCGTGTCTAGTTGGTGACATCAATTCTTTGTTATTCTCCACGGAATAACTTGACCGTTTTTATTCACTGTCAACGACTGCCAATAACAGGCAGTGTAGGTGGAAGCACATATGGATTCAATTCTGTCGGTTCCGTAATGAATTATTCTATTAATGTTTCAATTCGATTTTTATATTATAAAATGAGTGAACGACTTGAAATTTATTTGATAGCGATTATTCATTTATAATTTCAGCCATATTTCACTAATTTCACTTAAATTAATATCGCGAACAACTTCTCAAAATTTGTCAATTGTCAATACTATCCTTCTGTTGTGAATGATATAAATTATGTTCTCCCTCTTTTCTGCTGTAGTTTGTTTGGACAGATCTGCACTTGTTTTAAAGAATTCTTATGATTGTAATGTAATGTATGTAAAGCGAGTGGGGAATGGTTATGAATGAGAAAATAAGTAGGTAGATCTATTGAGATTGATTATATCGAGATTTTCTTCCATTTGATTACATTATTATGATAACTTGGTAAACATCAGTACATGGAATTCTCGGAAGACAGTACACACTACTCGCTATCTTAACCATCTAAATCTTAACCAAATATCACTGAACATTGAAAATTACATTAATTTCATGAGCTGTCTGCTCTTGTGTCACAAATCAACCGAAGCACTAGATAAGTTTCGCTCATATAGGATTGAAAGAGTGAAATAACATCTAAAAACTCCCGATCTACGACAGAAAGTTAATGAGCATTCGGCAGTTCGATCATCATCATCATGCCAAGTGGGTTGTTTATTTAAATTTTATGCAGCCGAAAGAGCATCAATAAGTGTAGCATGTACAAAGTTCGAAAGTAATTCTAATTTCTAATTTTCATTAGATTTTGATCAGCTGAGTGATTCTTAACCATCCAGAAGAGTTGTACCTACTTTGCATATGATGAAATTCAACAAGTAGAGCACCAATAACCAGAATACAATCAACAACATTTAGTATAACAATAGCCAGCAAACAAAACTTGGCATGAAGAATGTGTTCACCTCGATGTCGAATTCTATAAAATACAGACTATTGATCATTAACAACAAAATTGTGTTAAAATACTTTGTTTTTCTTTGAAAGCTTTCAAGGCTCCATGAAAATGTGACATATTCCTATGGATTTTTCTCACTTTCACAGATGTAATTCCAAAATATCAACCAAACAAATATATTTTCTGAGATAGTGCTCAAGCTACTTTCTGTTGACTTCACGTTGCGCTATGACGGTTAATAGATATCTTCACAAATCATATTCGCTAAATGGCAAAATATAGCAAGCTTCAACTAGCAAGAATCGTTAACATGGTGATAAACGTTAATTAGCTTACCTATCTAAGGCGTCATGCTTTGCACGATTTTCCCATTGGATTTCCTTTTCCAATTCATTCTCAATATCATTAATTTCCTGAATTCCTCCATTGATACTGGCTATCTTCACTGTTTGAGCTGCCAGTAGCTGGAATATACAACAGAAAGATCAACTGTACATATTTATTAGAAAATTTACCTATTTTTATCGTGGACAATGTTCATGTACAGTGGTTTCTTTACTATTTTACTATTTTATAAATATGGTATCTTAATTGTACAAAAATATATCTAATCATAACTATTGATATCGATAAATAGGCTTTGTATACAGAGTTTCACGTAGGGAAATAAGGAAGTTCATAGCGGTCTGGAAGTAATATGGTCTGGAATTTAAATAACGTTTCTTTCTAAAAAGAACGAAAAACAGAGAGTTTTCTAAACGATAAAATAAAATAATTAGATGTATGTGTGAGAAGATTGCTCGTTTACCTCTCCCAACTATGAATTGCTGGAAGCAGTCTCTTGACACTGTATATTGCAGATGGTGTAAATTTAGATACAAATCGATAGTTTCAACTGAGTAATCAAATTTTGATGTCTAAACCTTTGAACATGGGGATATAAATTAAAGAGTAACATCAACTTTTCAATTAAAAAGAATAAAGTTGAGAACTTGCGAGGAACCAAAATCTATAACATTCATCTTAGGTTAAGAATAAAAGGTTTGATTTAAGATGTCCAGTTAACCAGTAAATTTAAAATTCAAATTATTGTATCAAAAACCTGTTTCTTTAACATTTCAAGTGAAATTTCTGATTTCAAGCCAACTCTATAATAGATGTTATCAGCAACTGACTATGGGGTGGTTTATATGTGGTCGCTGTATAAATGATTTCTTTCATTTTAGGTAAACATCGGTTAAGTTTATTTGGAGTGAGAACGAAGACTTGGACATCTTACTGATTAAGTAGAGTTGATTTATATTAATTAGCACCAGAATAAAATTACTGAAAAATTAACTTAAACTAGAAGACAAATCTTTCCAGTGAAACATCACACACAAATCCAACTTCCCGCTAACATCATCAAAACACGGGAGACATTACATGATTAATAGAAGTCTCCACTTTCCTTCCACCTGAATAGAATTAATTGTAATTGATGGACTATTCTTAAGACTAGTTTAAATATAAGGTAGTCAGTGGACAGATAAATAACAATTCTTCGTTTCATTAATTCAGATCAGCTTAGCCTCTGCTCGAGATTTGATAACACCAAGGTCTTTCAATTTTCAACCCTTTTCCTCTGTCAGTGATAGATGAGTGGGCGTCATTAGTGTCCTGGTGATTGGTGTCACCGTAAAATCATTGTGACCATAACAAAGTCATGGTAACATTCTTGTTTGACATCAACAAAATCATATCTTTTAGTCACCAATAGTCAGACCGTGAATTATTGATGGTCAATTTGTTGTCTTGACTGAATCCTAATTTCAATTTAAAACTCGGACAGTTTTTTCGACGAAGAGATTCTATAATCCTGGCTATCTTATCGAAATCGTCTGTAAATGATCAATCTCCTCAGACACACAGAAATCCTTCCCGCCCTATCAAATAATCTTTTAAGATTCTGGCTACAAAGCTCTTGTTGTCAGGCAATATATGATGTTGTTTAAGCCCGTTAAGTGTGAGATAACATGCTCAGATGCCATAATGTCCTGTCTCCTCATTGATCTTGGTCCCCGTTGCTATCAGTATGGACGACCAGACTTCTAAATCGTTTATTCCAAACTATAGATACATCGATCTTTCCTTTAATCATGTGGTTTATTTCAGATTTACGTCAATATTTACGTAGAAATAAAGAGACAAATAACTTCACAAACGCTTTCTCATTTCAGTTTTCCAAAAAGACTCCTTCTAAATTGCTTATTTCAAACTACGCGGCTATTGATCTTACCATTATCACTAACGAGACTGTTTGAATCAGACTGATGTGAAAACCTACCAAGGTGAATAATGTGGTCATCAAGGTTCCTGAGGCTCCCAAAAGAATTGTTTAATCGAGCGTATATTCAAATGGTGGTAGGATCAAATACCATAAAAGATACCACCCAAACAGCAATTGCAGTTTCTATTAAAGTCAACACAAAGAAATCATATTCGTGACCTGTCATATTCGTGTCCCACATGAAACCGAACGTCACGGGCATTTACAGTGACAAATTAACCAAATACATAGTAGTGACCTAACCGAAAATTTTCATAAGTAAACTGCTGACTAAATTGACCTATGTAACACTGAATATTAGGACGTGCATATATCAAGGTCAATAGAAAATTTACTATGATCGCCTCTGGCTGAGCTGATCCGAGTCTTGTGGGCGAAAACGCCCGAAAACGACTCTCCAAAGTTATAAATATATCAAACAATAGACCCTCGGATTTTTATGATATTTAAACTCTTTCCCTTTTCAGAAAATCTCCAAGTATAAGATCATAATGACCCTCGGATGTGTTTTATCCTCTACACTTCAATTCAATCAATTTAATTTATAGCAATCATTATTTATGAGACACCAACTTGCATGTCATGAGAATAAATTCAAGGATAAAGTAATCTATCGTTTATAACAGGTCTCATATATCACTTGTTAAAAGCCAGTCTCTGACAGATTCTTCTTGTTGTTTATCAGACGTCACTGTTCTTCTGGAATGGAAGGCGTGAAACAGACCAGAAAAGTACCAAACAATAATATACCCAACGCGAATTAAAGAGGCGTTCATTGGGATGTTGCTGTTCGAACTTCGAGCATTTATGGCTTCATCTTGAACCATGCAATCTGATCAAAGCTGGAGTAAAGTCTCATAGGATAAGAATAGTTCTGTAATTCACCTTTTTTGAATCTAAAGAAAAATCTAAAAAAAAGCATATAGGAGTCACTACCAGATAATCTATGACAGTTGTCTCACATGATTGTATAACCTGCAGGAGCTAAGGTGTTTCGCTAATCTGAAGCTATGACAATGGAGTACCATCTGAAATCAACAAAAGTGGCAATTGTCATTGTCGTCTGATGATATAAAAATGTATCAATTTATCATAACAATATGAATGTACAAGCGGACTCTAATGACTCATGTAAATGATGCCATTGAATATGAATCGAAATCACAACAGGAATAATGGATGGTGAATACAGCAACAGGATGATTATTCCAGTTTCTACAACATTTATCGCCTCTCTATTTTTCTGATTCAATTTCACTTCACTGAATCTGACAGCGAACAATTCAGTTAGATGTTTAAATGACAGATAGCCAATATTCTCATAAAACATTCCTTCATTCCAACAGAAACTAAAAAAAAGGTTTGTTTCTACTACCAGAGCTCTTCACAATGTCAAGCTTTTACGAACTTCGTCTTGTACTTTGACTGCAATAACCACCTATCTTGTATCACGTGGTCTGTAATGCAAATTGTATGTGAGCGTATACAGCCAAGAAATGAAGTCTATGTTCAGCTGTATTTTTTAGTGTACAATCCAATGAATCACAACATTCCGAGATACAAGAAAGGCGGCTATTGCAGTCAAGGTATAAGACCAAGTTTTTGGTGAAGATGTGAATATATTTCGTTGTGTTAGCCTGTTTGCAATACAAAAATATAAGTAAATATTACAGTTTTTGCGTGTTAACCCAAATGAACAAAGTTACGCTCCTGGTTAAGTCAAGACATCTTGGATGAGTGATATTTGAAGTATCCAATAGAAAAAATAAACAAAATATCAAGAAGTGAATTTCATAAGATTGCACAAAACATCATTCCATTGACTTACCCCCAGTAATAATTCGGTACTGTTATCACGTGGAGGGTGTAGAACATCACAACTTAAACTTGCATAGATTTTTCGTTCTGGTGCTAAACTCATAATTTTCATTGCTTTTTAAATCAGAACACTATTTACAAAATCACTTTAAGATATACACAGTCAACTATAGGGACACTATAACAGAGCTACATTATCCTCTCATTTTCATCTATATTTCACATTAGATCTGGATTAAATTGTCAAACGCTTTTCATTAATATCCAACTCGATTATTCCAAATTGCTTATTGTATTACTTAAGTTAAGTCGAAGTAATTCATCTTTTTTTTTCTTCAAATGAAGTAAGAGACATCACAATAAATTTTCATGTAAACATTATTGACAACTGATATCAAAGAAGAGAGAAGGCTAACGAAGAACCACATTCAATTCTATTCTATTCCATTCTATTCACTCTACTGAATAAAATACTATTCCGTGCTAAATCCTACTACTGAATATATCCAATAAGACACCCGGTAATTCCGTGTCCTAGCTTTGCTTCACTAATTCTCAAGTACCGTTATTTCACAGAATTGTCTAGGATTGTCTATTGTATCCACTAATCAGTTGGTGTTAACGTGGGCTTAATAGTCATATAAACACAAACTTTTCTTTTAATACCAACCAGACATGTAAAAATGGCGTTTTATCACAGTGAACAGGATCTACCAGGAACAAATAAATATCCAAGAGTCAATAATGGAGTTTCATAAGAGAAAACTACATAAGACTGTAAACAACAGAATCACCATTATCCTGTTGGCACCGATACAACAGTACATGATCGGAAAAGGACTACTAAATTTTTAATGTGATGGCTCATAAAACAACATTTAACCTTCCTACTGCATCCAAAACCCAATCATTGTGACATATTGTTAGTCGATTATATTTTCTCTTTCGTAATAATGAATCATTTCACACAAGAGAACTAGATTAGTTCATACAACAACCTTCTTCCAAGATCTGAAAGACTACAGACACAGCAAATGTGATTTTCTGGATAGTTCCTCATTTTTTTCATGATCTAACTAATGCTCCTATACTGATCACATAAGACTATTTAAATCTCATAAGGAATTCATTTTGCAACCGAACATTTAACAAGAAATTACTACTGAAGTCCTTCAAATATATACGACATGACGACTGACAGTTGACCAGAGTACATAAAGCAAAGGACGAACAGTATCGGTCAGAATAATAGTGGATCGATTTCAGGAGACCAATAACACCAATGCCATTGTTATATCATTAGTTTAAATCAATATTATGCAATGGAATTATTTGTTGACCTTTCCGTACTGTATAAAATACCATCCAAGAGGCTTTCTTCATAAGTTTATACATCCACGCCTTTTAATTTAAATTGAATACATTTCTCAAAACGAAACAAAACTGATATTTGTACTGATTTGAAATACCCTGTAGCTTAGTGCTATGTGTGGGTTCAGTGTGTGACGATACTGCGACAAATTAAGTATGGTAAAATTGTAATTTATTCTCTTTTATGAATATTGATTAAAAAAATTTGTAAATTGGTAAGTTAGCCTTTAAAAATTAACCGGAAATAACTCAATCGTTTATCGAAAAAACAAAAATTATTTTGAATGGAAATATGAAAAAAACATTTTTATCGATGCACCTCACAAATGAAAATATTATTTCTCAATACAGCATAATATTCAGTTAGATTAATATCATTTTTATACGCCCACATGAAATGGGGGGCGTATATTGCCGTCACCCATGTCCGTCCGTCCGTTCGTCCGTCCACAATTGCTCGTAAACACTCTACAAGACACAATTCTTGACGGATTTTGACGAAACTTGCTGTGAGTGATCGTAATCACCTAAGGATGAACCCTATTAAAAATCAGAAGAATTGAAAAATATTTAGTTATTGCCCTTGTTCTTGAAAACGCGTTCGTAAACACTCTAGAAGGCACAATTCTTGATGGATTTTGATGAAACTTGGCATGAGTGTTTGTTATCAACCAAGGATAAACCCTATTGAAAATCAGAAAAATCGAAAAATATTTAGTATGAGTTATTGCCCTGGTCCTTGAAAACGCGTTTAATTTTGAGCTCGTAAACACTCTAGAAGGCACAATTCTTGACGGATTTTGACGAAACTTGGTGTGAGTATTCGTAATCACCCAAGGATGAACCCTATTGAAAATAAGAAGAATTGAAAAATATTTATGAGTTATTGCTCTTGTTCTTGAAAACGCTTTCAAATTTAGCTCTTAAACACTAAAAGGCATGATTCTTGCTGGGTTTTGACAAAACTTGGTTTTATTATTCAGTCCCGCGCTGATGATTGAATGTTTGCCTTCCAGAGTTTTCACGAGCTAAAAATTGAACACGTTTTCAAGAACAAGGGCAAATACTCATACTCAGTATTATTCAGTATTGCCCTAAAGAGTTCAAAAGAGGTGTATGACTGAATATGGTTGAATATTTCATATTGGTGATTGTTACTGTACTGCTAAATATTTTTATTCAAAATCAAAGCTGCCAGTGGGCGTTTATTACCTTGCCTGGCAAGCTATCTTCCTATCACATGAGCATTCATTAAGATGAAACCTGCTTTTAGCTTTTAACACGTCGTGGTAAATTGAATCAAAAGTATTTCAACCTAGTGTGACGTTCATTGAACAAATGAATTAACAAAAACACTTTCATGCCATACTTTGTCAAACGCCTTATTGATATCACAAAATGATTATGGATTTGTATACGCCCACATGGAAATGTCCGTCCACATTTGTTGTATGCATGATAGAGGCAACAGTTTTTATCTGATCTTGATGAAACTTGGTTTGCATGTATATATTGTTAATGTCTCGGTCAAGTTCGAAATTAATAAGTATCGGATGAACGGTTTCAGAGTTATTGCCCTTGACTTAGTAAAAACGCGTTAAATTTGGCTTGTATGCACGATAGAGGCTGCAATTTTTATCTGATCTTGATGAAACTTAGTATGCATGTTTATATTGATGAGATCTCGGTCAAGTTTGAAATTGGTAATAATTGGATGAACAGATTCAGAGTAATTGCCCTTGACTTAGTTAAAACGCGTTAAATTTGACTTGTATGCACGATAAAGGCTGCAATTTTTATCCGATCTACGTGAAACTTAGTATGCACTTATATGTTGATGAGATCTGTTGAGAATATGAACACTAGTTTGATAAAGACTATAGCTATAAATAGAATATTGATATAGACTATAGATTGCATGCATGGTCAGTATTAGTATTATAAAGTTTGCAGTCATCCTTGCTAGTCATGTAACATGTGCTTGATGTCTTATATATAAATCTTATTAATGCAATAGCTGTTTTCATTCCATCCTGATGAGCGAATGCCAGTCGGCCTCTGGTGATTCGACAAGATCTAGGTCAAGTTCGAAATTGGTAATAATCGGATGAACAGTTTCAGAGTTATTACCCTTGACTTAGTAAAAACGCGTTAAATTTGGCTTGTATGCACGATAAAGGCTGCAATTTTTATCTGATCTTGATGAAACTTAGTATGCATTTATATATTGATGAGATTTCGGTAAAGTTCAAAATTGGTAATAATCGGATAATCGGTCTCAGAGTTATTGCCCTTGACATAGTAAAATTGCGTTAAAATTGCACGATAGTTTGAAGTAATAATTGGATGAACGATTTCAGGGTTATTGCCCTGGACTTTTTTGGCTTTTGGCTTTTAGGCAGGCTATAGACTACAGTTCTATCCGATATTGATCAAACTGGCCGTAAGCTTCGCTCGAACTTAAAGCTAAGTCAGACTTCGGGTAAAGTCAGACTTTGTAAAGTTTCGCCTGAGTTCGACTTTGTAACTAATTCATTTCGGTATGCATGGCTTCAACTTAAACTTATCTTTGCTAAGTTTAACTTCTTCTGTGTATGTACGGAAAACCAACGATAACTCAAAGAATTATAATTTAATTTCTAATATATTTGTTAATAGAAAAAGTAAAATTTTGATCGGACACTTACAGACAGCAAGAATTTGACATGTTTCTCATGTGCTTTTCCATGGGGTCTTTACTATAAATACGCATCAGGCTACAAATCATAATTTGATTGATTATTCAAGATGTCAGACAATATGTCAGAATACCAAGAAGAAGACACCCCAACTTACTGTAATTGAACAGAAATTCCTTATCGATGTAGTGGATGAGTTTAAGGGTGTATTGGAGTCGAAACAAAATGATATTCGGTCCATACAAAGGAAGGAAAAGGCGTGGAGAGAAATAGAGGCGAATTTTTGTTCCATGCCCACTTTCTTTAAACGAGATCACAAGCGGTTACAGAAATGCTGGAATAATTTAAAAATGAAAGCAAAAAAATCTGAAGAGATGGAAAAAAAGAGAGAAAGAAAACTGGTGGTGGTATAGTGAAGACAATGGACAGTAACTCAAATCAGAAGATATGTGCTATGATACCGGCACAAATGCACCCTCTGTAGAATGATTTTGATAACGATATGGATTTCCATCAAGACAGCTTCACTTTGGCTCAACCGACGTTAGGTTAGTTAAAGGGATACAGTCCTCTGATTATACATAATTTGAACTTCTCAAATCCGCAAATCCAATTTCAATAAAAAGCAGATATTAATATGTCACTTCGATTTTGACAAGTGCTGTGGAAATTTCGAAAGAAGATAAATTACGAGACTGATTCCACGTTTCGAAATAAGTTGCATATGAATGATTCGAACTGTTACGTAGCACCTTACTTTAAACAACCCCTTTTGCATTGGTACTGAATTTTTCATAAATATATGATTATATTTTACGTAGCTAATTTAATTTTCATTTCTATATTCAACACAGGTTCTCCCGTATTTGCGCGATCCACATCAGCATCAGCCACTGTTACCAGTGGAACATTGTGTCCAGATACAAATACAGTTCCAACACAGAAATCAGCATGGGTTCCAAGTGTACAGCCAATTGTTCCAATTATCCCCGAAAACTGCGTAATGTCGTAAAAACCTCGTTGTATTGTTTTTATTTCATTTTCATCTGGAAACGTAATTACC